TGCCAAATCAGTGAGAATAAAAAGTAATGAGACCAGTTTTTCCCCAAGGAATTCTTATTGAAAGCAGTCCTACCAAGTCACTGAGGACGAAGTTACACTTGATTCGCCGAGTGGGGCTTAAAAAAAATCAGAGAGGTCGTGGAGGGTATGAGAATACAGAATTTAATTCTCCCAACCACTCCAACTTGTGATGGATTCACAACCATTGACTAGGATGGTAGTTCGACTTATTAACCTCAGACATACGGGAACATGAGCACCTCTCGAGACGATACCACACGCATGATGCACTGGTATAATGAGTGAGCAATCAAGTAAGTACTCTAGATGACCCTACAGTCGCTTTGCACCCTTCTTTCCAATTTGTTGAGTACCGCAAGTGGCTCCTTTCTCTTACGATATCTTAGCTCCACCCTTGTTCGTGTGTATATAAAACCATAATTTATGCAGTACTGGATCCTTGCGCAACGCGTGATAATGAACCTTGGCGCAGTCGGCATGGCTGGGGCATTCCGTTCTTCCTTACCGACCGGGCTACATATGTATACCCATGTATGCATGCAGCATCACGGCCGCTTCATACCAATCCCTTCGCTTCATAATTTGCTTAGCAAATGAATGAATACGAGCGTCAGGAACGGTCGTCCATTTGTGGGCGGGCGGGCGTGGCGGGCGTTTGGGACGTAAAGTTGTGGCTTGATAGGGCCCTTATAAGGCACCTTCCTCGGGGAAACCGCTATGCAGCGCCTGCCCAGGGTCGCGGAATTCTATCCTGCCAGGAGTATTGATCCTAGTCGTCTTGGGGATTTATCGTGCCAACTGCCTTTAAAGACACATGGTACGCTCAAACACATTGAGGGTGTATGAGACTATCAGCCCCCCAGCTGTCGATGTGTCGTGGTCCCCCCGCCCAAAACTGCACGGGGTCAGAGTACGGGGCCGTGGGAAAGTCGTAATTCCTTGCTACACCGCCCTCACGTTTATGCTAACACCATCCGCGCGGCGCGGTCGCGTGCAGCTCTCTTGGCTTGCCAAGTCCTGTAATTGCGCTTTGGAATACAAGTACAACGCAATTTCTTTATGCGGATAACATTTTAGGTGCTGCAAAATAAGAACGAAGATGCAAAATAAGAATCGAAGATGATGGCAAGGGCTAGAACTCAAGAGCAACTATGGTGCTTCTGCAATATCCCTCAGAGGCCGCGCATTCCCACAGTCAACATGCCATGAGACAATAAAAAAACGGACAACATGACAATAAAACATGGCAATACAAGCAAAACGCAATTTCCTAACATTTGAGGTATTGCTCATGCCTCAAAGTCCGAATAGAAGGTGGTGATGATGACATAGGCTAGAAATGAACAACAACGAATGTAGATGTAAATAAAACAAAATTGAAAACTAAGGAAACGCAATAAATTAAAATCGCGTGTGCATTTCTGCGATCCGGCTCGAATCCGGCTCTAATGCTATAGAAATACTTCAAACTAACGAGTGGGACGCTTAGGCCGTTTTTATTTTGATGTTTTGTGGGAATGCGCGGCCTGCGAGGGCTGTTGCAGAAGCAGCACAGTTGCTCTTGAGTTCTAGCCCTCGTCATCATCTTCAGTTCTTATTTTGCAGAACCTAAAATGTTATCCGCATAAAGAATTGCGTTGTACTTGTATTCCAAAGCGCAATTACAGGACTTGGCAAAAAGCCAAGAGAGCTGCACGCGACCGCGCCGCGGACGGTGTTAGTAAAAACGTGGAGTTGGCCAAAACGGGCGGCGTAGCAAGGAATTACGACTTTCTCACGGTCCCGTACTCTGACCCCGTGCAGTTTTGGGCGGGGGGGACCACGACATCGACAGCTGGAGGGCTTATAGTCTCGATGTTATTTAAAAGTTGGAACGTCGCTGTGCAGTCGCGATCGCGCTCACGGGTCACGCGGCGTGTACGCCATTGGTCAGTGGAGTTCGGAGATTCCAGCAGTGTTCTCCTGTATGTTACGTGAAAGAAGAGAATCTCGTTTCCTGTCCACCAGTAAGTTGAGTGTGTACATTAAGCTAGACCAAAGAAGCACACGCACCTCATACCCGGTTCCCCATGGGGAGTGGGCGCCAGGGGGGAAGGGGTGGCGAGGTGAGTCTTCGGCAGAGTGGGTGTATGGGGAGGCTTCGCGCAACTGAGTGCTGAACTGTTCGTGTTAGGCTACCCAGGGGAGATCAACAGCGAGAATACCACTGAGTTCAATCCATGAAAACGGTCGAAGGTTCGAAATTGTTCTATTTTTCCGTTTCGGTGGTGCTTTTCAAACATGCATTGGCGGGATACTTTAGTCCTTTTTTCTATTTTTGAAGCTGATGCCTTTTTCCGTCTGCATGGTGCTATGAACAAACACTGTAGAGAAAGATTGGGCTGAAACAGTGTGGATGCAATGGTGAGGGCGTACTTAGTAGCTCGCATAGTCAAGCTGTCGAGCATTGAAGGCTAGTATTGGTTACCCATAATAGGTGCTGCGAAAGCAGTTCAGAAGTTCATGGTGTTCGGTTAGGGAAGTCCTAGAACTGCTTATATCGGCTCGACACTTCACAAATAGGCCGTGCAACGTATAGAGTTTGAGGGCTACGTTTTCAGGTGAGCCAGAAGCATTATGTCAGACATCTAGCATCCAAAAACCTCTCGCTGTTCCGAACGTTTTCACACTAGGTTTTCTCAGTAGCCTAAATTCTCTAGAAAATCACTCACGAATGTTAGCCTAATGCTACTGAAGCTGCTTGGTGAGAGGCTTTCATCCCCCCCCCCCATTCAACTTCAACTATTTATTTCTCTACTTGCGCTCAGGGCATGACAGTAATCCGCAACATCTAACATTAGAGCAGTCAAGGTAAAACAAAATACTACCAAGAGGGAATCATAATACACGCAACGGAAGCCAGTTTTCTACCCTGTGTTGTGGTCCGTTCAGTTCAATTACCTGAAAGCAATAATCTCAACTATCGCTTATGAAAAGTTAAATCGAGGTACTGGTAATCCACTCGGTGAACAGAAAACGAGTGTCGCTTTTCTTAGGCCGCGTTCATACCGTGCGACGTCTTTTGCGTAAGTTGCGTAAGCTTGCGACTAGTTCGTGAAGAACACATACGTATCGATCCAAAGAAAGCTGCGTAAGTTGCGTAAGTTGCGTAAGCTGCGTAAGTTGCGTAAGCTGCGTAAGTTGCGTAAGCTGCGTAAGTTGCGTAACCGACGACAACTTCGAGAAGAATAGATACGTATCGATCGGTTAGCTGTCGTCGGTTACGCAACTTACGCAGCTTTCGTTGGATCGATACGTATGTATTATTCACGAACCAGTCGCAGCTTACGCAGCTTTCGTCGACGTTGACGACGACGTCGCACGGTATGAACGCGGCCTTTCATGAAGGAGAACACGCTAGAATCCCCGCCTGACCTAGAGCATAATTCCATTTACTGTCGGCGCGCTCCGCTGACGCCGTGACGCGACCGCGACGCACAGCGGCGTTCCGACTTTTGAATAACATCGATAGTCTCATACGTCCGCAATGTGTTTGAGCGTACCAACTGTCTTTAAGGTATAGGTGAAATCGGACATTTAGATGGAGGAGAATCATAGATGAAGGGGGAGTAAAAGAGAGGGAGAGCATTTAGTCGAGCTGAGCAACCAGTTGTCTTCCCTGCCATGATGTGTTCTTCATGCAACGTTTTGATGCCCCTCCCGCCCCCCACCCCTCGCCGGCTCACGATCGCTGGAATGAATGATCCCTCAGTCAATCTCCGGGAAGTCGCTGAGTCCCGTTTTTTTTTGTTCTGATTCTTAGCAAAATAAGTCTGCATTCGAGTCTCGAAATTCATCAAAACCACCACCTTTTCCATGGCATCGTTTTCGGTCGCAACAAAAATTCAATCAAAACATGCCACACACCTGAAGTAGAGGTATTTCTGAAGCAGTCGACATATCTAAAATAGATCTGTCCGCTTCGCAGTGCTTTAAAAGCAATGTTACTGACGGATTAGCATCAGGACTTGGCCAAACGTCTTCCAAGAGTAGTATGCCATGGTACGGCCTGATGCAATGGACTTTTATTACCTGGAATATTAACGTCCTCCTAGAACCAAATGAAGACCAACCGTATCCGTTTGACTATTCTATCAATCTCTGCGCGATTCTTCGGAGTCAAGTGAGCGTGTGCAAACGCACGAGACTGAGCACAAAAGCCCACTTCAATAAAGTTGTCCACAAAAACCTCAAAGGATAGAACATTTGCGTTCATGATACCCTCTTCTGAGATACGCCGGGCATTTTTTAACCTTCCAGCTCAGATTTATTCAAAATACTATAGGATGAATTGTTGGGCAGTCAGTTCATTGCAGGCACCATGCCAGAGGAGTCTGACACTAATTAACCACCCAGGAAGGGAAGCTGCGAAATACTGTTAAACTAGGTGTTTCGGAAGAGAATTAGTTGTAAATCAAGGACCGTCCTGTCGCTGCGGAAAAAATTTGGCCATTTCCTTCTCTGTGTATACTCTCACCCGATGAGATTCTCCTCACGACGTTTGATACGGATACGAAACAAGAAAAATCAATTATCAAAAAAAATTTCACACGCCAGGTACGAACCCTGCCCTCCCTCCAGCGACCAACGACCTCTCCACTGGGAACCCCCTGGCACATGACGTACCCCGTTGGGAATCAATTCCGTGGACTACATGGGGCCCTGGCACATGACGTACCCCGTTGGGAATCAATTCCGTGGACCACATGGGGCACGAGTAACGCCAGTAGTTAGTACCCCATCCAGCCCACTCACATAAAAACTTTAGAAATAAAAGTTATTGAACAGTTGGAAAAGTTGCGCGTACTTGGACTACTCCAGTTCGTCCAACGTCCAGAAATACCTTGGTGAGAAGTTCCGCCAGTGCGCTTCTCTTTCATATCTGAGCGATAACAGCAGTAATAAATTGTATTGCAAGTGTCGAAAGACTTACAGTATCCCAAGGAATTTCAAGAAGCGACTGGTCACTCTCCGGTCGGCTCGATACTTCTGCTTCGAATTCATCCAAGGCCGATCGTATCGCTCATTCCTGTTTAAGTAAAGGCAAGGTATTACAGTACAGTGTGATGAAAATGCTTCCAAGAACTGCGCCTCCAAGCATGTCTGTGCTAGGTTGGTGTCGATCAAGCACAGGTCTCAATGATTAAGCCACATGCTGGCACTCAATGTAGGCTCAACTTCTGCTTGCCGGTTACAATGTACGAGCGCCAAGTACCTACTTTTGTTATAGAAAGGTCTCGCAGTTATAGTCCAAGCCGGCTCGTTGAACCTTACTTAGCTGTCGAGCAACAAAAACCAGATTGTCTTCGAACAAATCAGCATGCTTGAAAGTAACAACTTAAAGCTGATGTTTTCGGCTAAGACAGCTCCTCTAATTCTCGCAATCATGTTTAGAAGTCAATATTAATTTGCAAGTAGATGTTAAAATACCTCACGAATACCTTACAACACCTCACAATAAAAAAAAAGGCAAAACCGCTGCAAGGACATGCCAAAGTCTGTGGTATACGAGGAAAATGCCGTTATTCAATGAAGGATCCCGTAGTGGCTTGCTAGGTTCCATTCGGAACTTTGGATGCTGAAGGTGCATCTCGCTCTGGCCGGCCATGGTTGATGGGACTGAAAGGGATTGTCTAATATGAACTTTGCGAGCTTTGTATCTGGCAAAATTATCAACTGGTCTCTCATTATCAACTCGTGCTGTGCACAACTCGACCGTTCGAATGGAACAGACAAAGCAAATGTCCCAAAACGACCAATTGAAAGAAAGTGACGGAGTTTGGTTGGATAGTTTTGCATTTACCGCACAGCCCGTACCTTGCACCGCTTGACTATCATCTGTTTCGACCTCTGCAAACTCCGTTGATGGTAAGAAATTGGCCGGGGACGCTCAAAATCATTTGCTTAAGTTTTTCGCCTACAAACTTTAGGAGTTCCAGAAGAATAGTGAAATAACCAGATAAATGGTAGAAGGTCAAAGGCAATAATGGTGAGTACGTCCTTGATTGAAATTGATTTTGAATGAAAAAATGTTTGTTCCAACATCGAAAAAACAGCGGAAACTCTTTTGTACAACCTGATACTTACTTGGATACTTGGATGCTAGTTTTCAGCCGCTTCTCTTCAGCGACGAGCACACGCTTCCCTCCACTGTCGAGCGGTTTGGACCCAGTGTTGGCCTGCAGCTTTTTGGAGTTGCTTCAAAGAGTCTCTCCAACGGGTTGCAGGGCGGCCAGCTTTGCGCTTCGCGATACCAGAGTGTGATGCGAGTTGTCCACCGATCGACGCGCCACTCAGGACGCGCCATCTCGTTGTGACAAAATTTACGACCCCCACCATCTAAAAATGGTCTCGATATGACCACCCCCCTCCTTTGTCCCTGCTAATCTGGTAGAAGCGGACCAGATCAGCAGCGGACATACAAAAACCGAAAAATGGAAGATCTGCGAAAATAAACTGAAACAGGAGACGTACTTTAAAGGCAGCGCCCGCGTTCATTTGTTGTTCCCACGCCCTCTTTGGATATCGTAGCTCACCCTATGAGGATGGTGGACGTACTAGTTTCGCAACTCAAAAATGCGAGAGAATAGCGGCGCCCGCTCGTGAAGAGTCGGCCACCCCCCACCTGGCGACCACTACGCCCAACTTCATTTCTAATGGTTGCCTGATGGTGCGGTTGTTCTGCTACTAACTCTCTCCACTTCGAATGGTGAGAGTGAGGTGATAAGGGAAAACAGCTGATACCAACAAGTGAGACTCGTGCGCCGCGCCTTCTTTTTGCCTCAAACACCTCCTAGGGTAGGAACTCGTATTTGGTCGCTGGAATAGGAGGATGACCATGTGACCATGTTCTGAACATTTAGGGGCCAGTACGCGCCGTGAGGCATGACTGGTGTTCTAAAGTTGTAATGCTAAGCGCAGGATGGCGTGAGGACGTGTCCCTTCTGCAGAAGTTTGAAGAAACTGGACAGACCAAACGAAATGCTGGGCGTAGTTCGGCGACGGGGGAACATTTTGCACTTTCGCTGCTCCATAGCGCCAGTCTGCATATGCCCTTCTCATGAAACCTGTGAACTCTTGTAAACCTGGAGCAATCTCGTTTAGCCACCACGGTAGAACCTGTCAACTCTTGTAAGCTCACGAAGTGGCTCTCTGACGGGTCGACACGTCGATGGGAAGTAGCAAAAGTGCAAAATGCCCCCTCCCGTCGCCGAACTGCCCCGAATGCTGTAATTGAACTGAAAGGTTCTCTGTCTGAGCCATTCAGGAGTGCTGAGGCTTAGATCAAGACTATTCGTGAAGCACAGTCCCCCTTTCCCTTGTTAAAGCAACATCCAAATTAATTCCATCTTCGCCTATCTGCTTACATTCAATACGCCAAAACAGAAAAAGGGTGAGTGATGTACTGCTTTCGCGGGGGATTCGCTTTCAAAATTCTCCGCTTTACCTGCAAAAACTTGCAGAAGGAAGGGGGAGGGAATCTCCATTACTATCAATGACTTGTTGCCAACGTTTATGCAAAAAATGGATTCCTCTTCTGAAGAACTCGACCGGCTGCGACTCAAAGAAGTTGGACACCCAGAGTTGGACTTTTTCGCGGTTTGTGAATTTTCTCTCGGCCAGGGAGTGCTGCATCGACCGGAACAGATGGTAATCGGATGGTGCCAGGTCTGGGCTGTATGGCGGATGAGGCAGGACTTCCCAGCCCAATTCCTCAATTTTTTTCCAAAGTGATTTTCGCGACATGTGGACGAGCGTTGTCGTGGAGGAATTTTGTCGACGTCGTTTCGACACCCTGACGACGCAGTGCTTGATCAACGCGATTCAATTGATGACGAAACCGCTCTTCTTGGAGCGACGAAAAAGAATTCCGGCCATTGCCACTCGTGTTGCCTTGTTTGCGTCGCTCAGCTGGTGCGGCACTCTTCCCAACTTTTTTTCCCCAAAAAAAGCAAAGTAGACATAGACAAAAATATATCAAAAGATGCACAATAAAAATCTCTTTCTAATAGACAAAACTGTTTTGAAAAATCTTCTATAGTAGGAGAGAAATAAATGGACAAATTCAACGCGCATTTCTTGCCGAACAACCTAATATATAGAGCACGCAAAGCGGGAAAACCCGAAATTTTCAAAAAACGTTCTTCGCGAAGGCAGATACGTCCTCGCCGCCCCCTCAATGGCCTTTCAGTTCCCCTCTCGCTGAGGATACCCCACGCGACGTGACGTTGATATATTTTGTCTATGTCTACTTTGTTTTTTTTGAAGAAAAAAGTTGGGAAGAGCGGGTGCCGCACCAGCTGAGCGACGCAAACAAGGCAACACGAGTGGCAATGGCCGGAATTCTTCTTCGTCGCTCCAAGAACAGCGGTTTCTTCGACTCTATTGTTACATCAGATGAGACATGGATCTGCTACGACAACGCAACGCGAAAAAGACAGTGGTTAGACGCCGGTGACACTCCAAAACCGACTCCGAAACCGGATATACACGGCAAAAAGGTGATGCTGTTTGGTGGAACAGCAAAGGTTTGGTGTACTTTGAAGTTCTGGACTTTGGAAGTTCTGGATGGAGTCAAGCAGTTACGGTGGACATCTACAAAGATCAGTTGAACCGCGTGGATCAAGCACTGCGTCGTCAAGGTGTCGAAACGACGTCGACAAAATTCCTCCACGACAACGCTCGTCCACATGTCGCGAAAATCACTTTGGAAAAAAATTGAGGAATTGGGCTGGGAAGTCCTGCCTCATCCGCCATACAGCCCAGACCTGGCACCATCCGATTACCATCTGTTCCGGTCGATGCAGCACTCCCTGGCCGAGAGAAAGTTCACAAACCGCGAAGAAGTCCAACTCTGGGTGTCCAACTACTTTGAGTCGCAGCCGGCCGAGTTCTTCGAAAGAGGAATCCATTCTTTGCATAAACGTTGGCAACAAGTCATTGATAGTAATGGAGATTCCTTCCCCCCCTTCCTCCTGCAAATTTCTGGTGGTAAAGCGGAGAATTTTTGAAAGCGAATCCCCCGGGAAAGCGGTAGCAAGTTGGCCAGTTCACGAAACTGGTAGGCAGGATGCGGGATAGAGAGTTCAAGTGAGACTAGAGGAGGAACGTTGTTTCGAATTTTGGCAAAAATGCGCTTCAACGGCAGAACTCGGTGCCAAAGGACCGTGACCAAAGGGGACCCTAAAGGGGCTTTCCCAGAAAAGGCTGTGATGTCTATATGGTACACCGGCCCGTACTAGGCAACTTGTAGATGAGCGGAAGGGAACCGCTATCACTGCTGGCTGCACGCTGGGCAGCTGCAATATCTGAAAGGGGGGGGGGGAATAAGTGGCAAAGTCTACTTTCAGCATACCAAGTCCAGACTGCACAGTGCAAGAAGCTCAAATTGGAACTTTCGCGGTATAGCAGGACAATACTTCTTCATCCAGCGTACAGCAGAGATGGCATCACGACGGCAACGCTTTGGTGTTTTCAGCGGCATCGTCGCGTTGAGCGCGCGACCGAAGCTGTGCCGTCGCGAAGTCTGAACGCTGCCCAAAGTTGCGTATGTTCAGTTGCGACAAGGAAGTCCAACAGTCATTAATCATCATACTAAGCCTTCCAAAGCAAGGAAATATAATTGGTTTTGAATCTGCCTGGTCGTAGGCAGGGCACGCCATCTTTGTGATCATCACAACAGGGGGGTCGTATTTGCCCGCGATGGAGGGGGGGGGTCGTAAGCGCATGGCCCACTTCGAAGTGGAGAGAGCAGTGATACACGGTACAAGTGAAAAGAAGCTCGAAAGGGACGATGAAAATGACAATAAAGAGAACAAACACTAGTTGAACTAACTATTCCTACGCCAAGGAGTCGAGAAAAATTTTCGCTGAAACTTGTAGTAGATGTTATCAGATGTCCTGATCACGAGTATGACATCATTTCTTCGTACCTCCATATTAAGCGCTCTGCTGAGGCTGAAACTGGGAAAACGAATGATTTCTCTAAGGCCAGGCTCAGTCTCGACAAAGCGCTGATGACGTACGTCGCTGGCGCCGAGAATGAAATGAATGGAATGAATGTCATATTTGAAAACAGGATGTCAAATAACCCCTGAACACAAGTTTTCATCGATTTTGGTGGTTTAAGGGTATATAGGCGGCGGCGCCTGTGGCGCGGCGCCAAAAACCCCCAAATCACGAAAATTGATTCGAAGCGGATATGATGTTCGTGTTCAGTGGGTCGAAGTACCACTGTGTGCAAATTTTCAGCCAAATCTGGCCTTCTAGAAAAAAAACCAATAAAAGAGCGGCCTGATTTCGACAGACTGGGGTGGGAATAGTTCAGTAGTGGCGAAAACTAGATCACAAACTAGAAAATACCAAGAAACTAAAACGAAAATCTAAAAAGCATTAGAAACAAACAAAAACAAACGAAATGAAATAACTCACTAACTTTAAATGCTAGTTGTTCGCGGTCAGCCGCACGCGCCGCACGCGAGTAGTGCTAATTCCCACGCTAATAATACAAGCTCATTGGTGCGCGCTATTTTTGGGCCTCAAGCCAATTTCAAGCCAAACGCTCGAAAACGCTGGAAAAGTACCCCTCATTTGAACGCTCATAACTTCGTTGAAAGTGAAGCTATCGGAGAGGGGAAAGTAGGAATGAGTAGGGAGAGGTTGGCTCTTGTCACCTGAATTAAGCGATTTTGAAAACGTTCCGATTCTAGAGATTCTCCCCGTTGTGATCCCGTGTGTGATCCTTGACGGACCATTTTTTTGAACCGCGAGTCGCCACGATTCGGACGTCCATGGCAAGCTTCATACACGGCCTTTCGTAAAAAAAGATAGCGCGGAAGCTTGAAGATTTCTACTTTCCAGCAGGGCTTTAATTTTCTCCCTAGGCCTGCTATTCGAAAAATTTCCCCGTTGTGATCATTTTGTAAGAGTTTGGTATGCTTCTGAAGCACATGTTTCCGCAAAGGGTATAGGAAATAGTCCATTGGACGCCAATTGGCATCACCACTGCAATGCGCCATGCATGGGGCTTTCACGCAGGTTTTGGAAAGGTGTAACTTCTAGATAGGGCTTCCCAAGTTGCAAGCAAATGTGCTCCTACGATCAGAAAAGTCCGGGAATGTACTTTCATCTGTTTATTAATCGTCACGTCGTGAGTCCTTTTGTTTGTTTATAAATTCATGGTGCCCTTGTGGGCGGTGATCGTAGCTCCTATCATCGCCCCTTCCTCGTACGTACTGTCTTATGCTACACCAGTGCCAAAGTGCTGGACGCTTGGGACGTACGTAGGTACTGCAACCTCCTCCCCCCCCCCGCTCGACAGCAAAATTTTGTAAAAAAATCAGAAATTATCCGGGAACAAAGTGGTAGGAGGTTGGGAAAATCTAGGAAAGTGGTAGTAGCATGGGGAGGGGGGGGGGTCGTACTTGAGGATGGAATTAGGGGGGGTCGTATTTTTCAGGAAATGATCACAACGCAATGGCGTGCCCTGGTCGTAGGGACGAGGAATTTCCCGCGGCGTGCGGATTGATACTGGTCCGTGGACACTTTCTTAAACATAGGGAGTCTCGCCTTCGCCGTGAATGGAGACGTGGGCCAATAAGAAATCTGCAATGGTAGGTCTGTCCGCCTCCAATACAACTAGTGTGGGATGTAAGCTTGAAGATTACAAGATTTCATCAGTGAGGATTACTTTTGAACACCGCCATATAACAGTCTGTAAATTGTCTCCAAGGACCAAAAGCCCTCTGATGATCCTTGTGATTTTAACAAAACGGCTTTGTTCATTGACACAGTGAGGGAATCGGTCAGCTAAAAATAATGAAGAGTTTTCCGGCTTGGGAGGTGCATTTTGCATTTTACTCAACATCCTTCTGCTAGTTCATGCTTATTAGCAGGTCTTATTGTGGCGGGATTTGTAAACACCAGAGAGGATGCGAAATGGGAGAAATAAGCCACATTAATCACGGGATTTTACAGATTTTCACAAGGTGGCCTGAACAAGCTTTGGTAGGTACCCTTCAGCGCTGCCACCAAGGCGAGCTGC